ACGACAAAATGATGAAAAATTCATAAACGCGTGCGTACCGCGAGAAAAAGGAGCGCGCGCACAAAATAAAAATCAAAAATAAATCAAACGTCGGCATCGACGGATTCGTAGGTATATATAAAAAAAAAAAAAACAATAAATATACCAAAAAATTGAACAGGGTAGTGGACTGGTAGTGCGGAGTAGGCGGTGCGAAATCTTTTCAATGGATGTTGGAATTGGTGGCGTTAGGAACTTGTCTGGTCGGATCGTTCTCCATGTCGGACGACGTGGATCCGGGTCTCTCCTGTTGCTGCTGCTGCTGTTGCTGCTGTTGTTGCTGTTGCTGTTGCTGCTGCTGCTGCTGCAGATGCTGTTGGTGTTGCTGCTGCAACTGTTGCAACTGCAACTGTTGGTGGTGATGCTGCTGGACGGCGAAAGCGGCAGCGGCGGCCGACTGGCTGTGGTGGTGCTGCTGTCCGTGGTGGTCGTCCACAGAGCCCGCGCCGCCGCCGTTGTTGTAGAACGAGAACGGCGACGGGAAAATGCTCATCGGATGGTGCGGGTACGGTCCTGCCTTGCCGGAACCGGCTCCTGGCGGATAGAACTGATTGTAAAACGAGCTGACCACGGCCGCGCCGCCGTTCTTGTTGTGAGGCGACTGCAAGTGGTGCTGCTGCTGTTGCTGCTGGTGCAGGTGCGGTTGCAGCGGCTGCTGCAGGCCGTTGATGTCGACGGGCGGCGGCGTGCCGGCCATCTGCGACGACGGTGATGGGGAACCTCCACCGCCTGACTGTGCTACGACTTGGGCCTGCTGGGCCACGAGCTTGGTCAGGTGAATGGGATCGAACGGAGGCATGGCTGTGCTCAGGTACGGGCTGACCAGCCCTGCCGACGAGTAACCTTCGAACGAGTGCAGGGCCGGGTGATGGGTAGCTGAGAAGTACGGCATCGGAAAGTTGAAATTTGAGGCACCGCCTGGCCCACCGCTGGTGACTACTGGAAAGCTATGAAAGTTGGCCTGTTTGTGATGTGAGCTATGGTGATGGTGCAAGTTGTTGTTTCCCGCGGACCCGTGCATCATACCACCGTTGTTGTTGTGAGCGCCGCTGATGTTGTTGTTGTTGTTATTATTGTTGTGCAACTGGATCTTGGGCTTGCGCCGGGGCCGGTACTTGTAGTCTGGGTGCTCCTTCATGTGCAGAGCCCGCAGCCGCTTGGCCTCGTCGATATACGGCCGCTTCTCAGACTCGTTGAGCAGCTTCCACTCGGCTCCCAGACGCTTGCTGATCTCCGAGTTATGCATCTTCGGGTTGTCGTGGGCGATGAGCCGGCGCTGAATTTTAGCCCAAACCATGAACGCGTTCATTGGCCGCTTGATGTGATCGGCCTTGCCCGGCAGCTGCTGCTGCTGTTGCTGTTGCTGCTGTTGTTGTTGCTGCTGTTGCTGGAGAGATTGCTGTTGCTGTTGCTGTTGCATGACCACAGTGGCTGGCGGAGACACGGACGACTCGAGAGCGCGACTGTGGTGGTGGTGAAGATGATGGTCCATTATGAAATCAAAATTACCCATGTGTGGAGGGCCGTCCATTACTGTAGAGATGATGACGACGAAAAAACGTGCTGGTCTCGGTTACGATAGTAGCTGGCTGTGGCAATTTTATTTTCTTGTCGAAACGATTTTGTTGGGACGACGAGGGATAAAAATCACCGCGCGCACTAGACGATCGTCGGATATTTGAATAGTTTTTCACCGAACGGTGAGACTATGGTTCGTGACGGCGACTCACGCACCGCGATATTGTCGGACAGGTAGAGCAAACGATAAATAAAAACGCGCACAACTTAACGACACAATTATATAAATTACAAACGAATAAATAAAAACAGTTAAATAGGCCTGCGGTCGTACGGACACACTGCACACGAGATGACAACAGGACGAGCCGCGCGACGTGAGACGAATGAAAGCAGTACGATACGCGCGGTGAGACTGAGCTACTGAGTGCGACGGCCGACGACGGCGGCGACGTTGTTCCGCGTGTGCCGACGACGGCGGCGCTGCGCGGCGGCGGCGGCTATGGGCGGCACCCAGACGCCGGCCAATCACGACGCACCGCCGCTTCCCACTGCCACGGGAAGATGACAATCAATCATTATTTTTTTCTCTCTTTCTTTTCTCTTCCTCTTCTCTTCCTTTTCACGCCACCCCGCCACCGCCGCCCTTTTATCGCGATTCTTCGACCTCTCCTTTTTCCTCCTTCTCACGCTCGACGGCGAGGTATTTCCTTTTTATTTTTTTAGAGCTTATACCATGGCATGTGATATTATAATGTTTTCGGGTCCTGTGGTTTTACGGTGCGGGTACGCTACAACGCGTTGTTATCAAGCATTGCAAGTGGTGGTATGCCTACCGTGGTACGGTGCCTTACCGTTGCCGGTACTCGGTACACACGACCGCGTACGGGACACATGCTACATGCAACATGCAGGGAATGCGCTCGCATAGTACAGTTTGTTCTCTACTTTCGTACACATCGTAATACGAACAAAGTCCCAAGTAACAATTTTTTGAAAAAAAAAACAAAATACCTACGGTCAATGGTCATGGCTTGATGAGAATTATGAAATTATATATCCTTTCCAATAAACTCGTTATCATAAAACCCGTGTTTTATTTTTAAACATAAAAAAAAACGTCCGTAACTTCAGTATAATATTATTGACAGTAATTATAATAGTGGGAATCTCAGATATTTTTGAGACACAGTAAGAGCATTAATTAAGTAGCGTTGATATGTTTGGGGAGCACATTATTTTATCTAACTTGCGACTGTGGTCAGCGGTGTGAAGTTGCAGGATGTCAGCACACGCAGCTCATACGAACTCATCTTTCGGCAGAAGGGTTTTATCCGGCCGTCGGAGTAAAATTAACTTTTCTTCGGTCGTAAATAATAATGTTTGTCCAGAGAACGATAATAAACTATAGTGGATATATGTATAGTTGTTATCGCGCATTAGCGTTGCCCTCGTTATCGTCATATCGAGTTGGGCGAGTTCGCGACTTCGTGAATATTCGTTTATTATTTAAAATGATAAGCTGAAGCAAGTATTTATTATTCGGTGGGTGATAGGTGCCTATAGATAATTAAAAACTTTCAACTTTCTTCGTTTCATTTCAAATTTACAGTATTGTAACTATGTATAATTGTAATCATCATAATGATATTATCATACTATTGATATTATATTATTTATATTATTAAAGTGATGATTTGAATATTTTTTTTGGTATTTATTATAAAATGATTATATTTAGAAACAATTATTAATATTACTATGTCCTCTATCGTTTATTCGACAGCTGTTTACATAATAAAGTTATTAATTAATACTTCTATTTGCACGAAACACAAATATAAAGTTTAAAACCTACAAAATTCGTTATATTTTTAAAGAGTTTCAACGTTTCATAACAGTACAAAAACGTACTATTATGAAACAGACCGTACGTCTGGGTGATGTAAATGAAGTCATGGAGGGTGGCCTATAATAATCACAGCGTTAAAATAATTCCATTAAAAAACAATGTGTTTATTTTAAGAGTTTACTAGCAAATAATTAATTTAAAATTAAACATACGTTATCGATCGTGGACTGCGTGGCTTTATCTGCTAGACTTACATAATATTACTATTAATGGCCACTGAGGTCTATCTGAATAGGCCGCGGTTGATTTCGAGTGAATACTAAAACCACCTTATTTCATATCAATATTAGTAATATCGCAACTTCCTAGGAAAAATAGAAAAATTTAGATAAAACCACTCAGAATGCAGTTACCGAAAAACCCGATGAGTACCACCTTATGAAAACAGCCACGTTATTCGTGTTCGTCTAGCCAATCACCCAGGTATCCCCTAGAGTAGCATTTGAGTTTTTTCATAAAAATAGGCAGTTGAGTAACAACAGCTCTTTGGCATGACTACGGGACTCTTCCTTCACCCTCTCCTGAACATGTGATACAAAATATGGAACTCACAACGCAATTCGCTACTTGTTTAAATAATATAAACAATTATAGACATGTAATTACTTGCATGGCTAAATGGACGATGTCTATTTAGCCATGATTACTTGTTTATCGTGGGCTTATCGTCTCGAGACTCGCGGGTGACTGTCCAGTATCCATTGACCGTCGTACCTACTATGTTTATTTTTTATATACCGTTATAAGCCTTTCAAATAAATGAAAATAATAATCATATATTGTTTACAATTGTTATTAATATTGTAGAATAGCAAGTAAAAAAAAAATATTTTATAATTGCACATCACGTAACGAAATAAAAACATTTTTTAAGATCCTAGTAACGCAAAATGTGTTATTGTGGATGTTTTCGTTTGCAACAATTGAATGCCAGTAAAAATATTCAGGAACATATTTCAATTCATTTTTAAAAAATAAGCTTATACAAAATAAAACCCACATCGTAACATAATATTTTGTAAATTGTAAGATAGGTTGTAATCGAAATTACACAATATACAATATTAATTTAATATTTATTGTGGCAATCTGAGAACACATTAATATACTAAAATGATTTGGTATAATATTATAATACAAGTTCAAATATTATAAGAAGTGTTGACCCCTTTTCCATAAATATATCACATAGATACTAGACAAACCTACATGTAGCCCGGCTACACATTGGATACCAAAATAGTCAATAGAGATTAGTATTTATGCATCAGTATTAGAATTTGACATTTTAGATTAAAGACTGCTGACGTAGATCTTGGTGGCCAGGCGACAATATCAAAGTATAGGTACCATAATTAATTTTACCTTAATTTCTTTTCCATCTGATATGGAAAAGTCGAAAAGGAAAAAAGTTGTAATCCGTTAAAGTGTTTACTGTAATAAGAACCTTGGTTTAAAATATAGTGACCGTCGGGAAACGAATATTTTTCTGCTGAAAAGAGTTTTTTAAATGAATTTTTTTTTTTTACAAAAAAATTTGTATTTGTTGTATTAATTTAATGTATATTTATATTCATTCAAGTACACCGTATAAACATGTTTCGTTGTAATTATTTCGTTGATGCTTCATTGTCGAGTATAATAAAAAACAATGTTTTCGAGTTTATATTTACTATTAATACCTATACATACATAGTATAGACATAATGATTACATTTCTAAGAAATCTACTTTTTAATCATTATATTAATGGTAAGACGAATAAAACTGCAATCGACGAGCATGGCAAGATAAATATTATCAAATGATTAAAAATCATCAGCGATAAAAAAACAATTTATTATAATTTACTACTAGGGCGTTTTATATTGATCTTACCAACACGGCCACACTATACACTGTGTTGATTTTAATCAAACGGTGCAAATAGTGAAATCGGAATGCAGAAAAATGTATATCGAGTTTCTTGGTATCAGACTATGTATATATATATATTATTGTAGCACGGTGGTACTGCATACGACAATTATTTGTTTTCAGCCATGAACCATCTGTCCAGTCTTAATTTTTACATTTTAAAACACGTATTGTCTGTCCGTTTACAGGCAGTTGTGGACATCATAAAGGTCCTTATTATAAAAAAATAATATACATTATATTTAAAGTGAGACGACACGGCTAACACAATAGAGAGGATGTGTCCTCCGTATTAGATTGTGTGCCGACTGCCAGGTCGTTTGCAAAATAATAGCCTACTTATAAGTTATACTTCGGTGTGTAGGCATTTTGCATACCTCCTATAGTTATACGGGTTTTGCGCTCGGTCATAATACTATATATTATTTAGGTTCATTTCATAAATGTTTTACCGAGAAATAAAGAATAGCGTGGGTGTAATGGGCATATAATATTAGATTGTAAAGCAGTATTGTAATCCGCCCTAGAACGCTTTGGCACACTATTATATTATTATTATAAGCCACCGTCACATCTATTGTCGATTACCATTAGGTATATCAATCCCTGTATACCGTTTTCCACTTAAAATTTCTGCGACTGCGACACATATTATTGTGGTGTAATTGTCAATACAATATCATCATTGATAATTATTTATGCTCTCCGTGCAATCCAACGACCGCATTACCGCGGTCTGTTCGGGTAATTGCACACGAGTGTATTGACTACAGTACCTATGGCTATATTTTATGAACTCACCACGCCGACTACAACTGTCCTACATGGATCTAGGAAAAAAAAAAGTCCCGGAAAAAAACCCCTTGCCAACGAACACTACACGTTCAATGATTATATGCTCTAATTATTGACATTATTTATTATTTATTTCGACATAATGTGCTTTAAATAAGTTTAATACAATAATTATGTTTTTTACTTTTGTACTTGAACCTCATATTTATTTATTAGAATCAGAATAATAATAACCATATTTACATAGATAACATATTCAATAATATTATCAATAATATTATAATATATCGATAATATTATTATTATAATATTATCTTAGTTAAAAACTAGTTCATAGTTTTTAATTACATTTATATTATTAGTCGATACCTACATAATAAATATTAATATAAAGAAAACAACATGAACGAAAAACCCGTACTCAAGAGAATATAATATTGTACTTTAGGGTATAGAACGTATATAGTATATACTATGAAAACCACATAATATATATTTGTGATGTATACATACCATCATATAGGTAGGTAATTTTATAGATAAAGTCGTCAATAAAATGTATTACCTTCATCATTTTCAAGATAAAGTAAAATGTCAATTACTTTAGTCTTATTGGGAATAATCCACGCTGCAGTGTGGTCAAATTAAAATTGATTTAGAAATAACTGAAATAACTGTTGAAAAAAACTGCTGATTTGAGACGGATATAACAATTAACAAGGGCGATACAGCAATTTTGGGACCCATTATATAGGTATGGCTTATAATAATATTATGTACACAAAGATTCTAATCAAAT